CCCACATCTCAATAATCACTCTAAATGTAAATGGATTGAACTCCCCAATCAAAAGACACAGAGTGGCAGGATGGATCAAAGAACAAGATCCAACAATATGCTGCCTCCAGGAAACACACCTCAGCCCCAAAGACAAACACAGACTCAGAGTGAAGGGATGGAGAACAATACTCCAAGCTAATAATGAACAAAAGAAAGCAGGTGTCGCTATACTAATATCAGACAAGGTAGATTTCAAAGCAAAACAGATAAAGAAAGATAAAGAGGGACAGTATATAATGATAAAAGGGACTCTCCACCAAGAAGACATAACACTTATAAATATATACGCACCCAACACAGGAGCACCAAAATTTGTAAAGCAACTCTTAATAGAACTAAAAGAAGACATCAACAACAATACAATAATAGTAGGGGACCTCAACACACCATTAACACCAATGGACAGAACATCCAGACAGAAAATCAACAAGGAAATAATAGAATTAAATGAAAAATTAGACCAGATGGACTTAATAGATATATATAGAACACTTCATCCAAAAACAGCAGGTTACACATTCTTCTCAAGTGCACATGGAGCATTCTCAAGGATTGACCATATTTTGGGAACCAAAGCAAACATCAATAAATACAAGAGAGTTGAAATAATATCAAGCATCTTTTCTGATCATAATGCTATTAAACTAGAAATCAACTACAAGAAAAAAGCAGAGAAAGGTGCAAAAATGTGGAGACTAAACAACACGCTTCTCAACAGACAATGGATCATTGAAGAAATTAAAGAAGAAATCAAATTTTATCTGGAGACTAATTAAAATGAGAACACGACATACCAAATCATTTGGGATGCAGCAAAAGCAGTCCTAAGAGGGAAATTCATCGCAATACAGGCTGACCTCACTAAACAAGAAAAAGCTCACATAAGCAACCTCAAATGACACCTAACAGAACTAGAAAAAGAAGAACAAACAAAGCCCAGAGTCAGTAGAAGGAGGGAAATAATAAAAATAAGAGCAGAAATAAATGATATTGAAACAAAAAAGACAATAGAAAGGATCAATGAAACAAAGAGTTGGTTCTTCGAAAGAATTAACAAAATTGACAAACCCCTAGCCAGACTCACCAAGAAAAGAAGAGAGAAATCGCAAATTAATAAAATTAGGAATGACAGAGGAGAAATCACAACAGATACCAATGAAATACAAGAGATCATAAGAGAATACTATGAAAAACTATATGCCAACAAATTGAACAACCTGGCAGAAATGGACAAATTCCTAGACTCCTACAATCTCCCCAAACTGAATCAGGAAGAAATGGAGAATCTGAATAGGCCAATCACAAGTAAGGAAATAGAAACGGTAATCAAAAACCTCCCCAAAAATAAGAGTCCAGGACCAGACGGCTTCTCTGGAGAATTCTACCAAACATTCAAAGAAGACTTAATACCTATTCTCCTCAAACTGTTCCAGAAAATTGAGAAAGATGGAGAACTCCCTAACACATTCTATGAAGCCAACATCACCCTGATCCCCAAACCTGACAAGGACAACACAAAGAAGGAGAACTACAGGTTGATATCACTGATGAACGTAGATGCAAAAATCCTCAACAAAATTTTGGCAAACCGATTACAGCAATACATCAAAAAGATTATACACCATGATCACGTGGGATTTATACCAGGGACACAGGGATGGTTCAACATCCGCAAGTCAATCAGCATGATACACTACATCAACAAAATGAAAAACAAAAACCACATGATCATCTCAATAGATGCAGAGAAAGCATTCGACAAGATCCAACACCCATTTATGATAAAAACCCTCAGTAAAATGGGTATAGAAGGAAAGTACCTCAACATAATAAAGGCCATATATGATAGACCCACAGCCAACATCATACTCAATGGACAAAAACTGAAAGCCATCCCTCTGAGGACAGGAACAAAACAAGGGTGCCCACTTTCACCACTCCTATTCAACATAGTACTGGAGGTGCTGGCCAGAGCAATTCGGCAGGAAAAAGAAATAAAAGGAATCCAAATAGGTAACGAAGAAGTAAAACTATCGTTGTTTGCAGACGACATGATCTTATATATAGAAAACCCCAAAGAATCCACAGAAAAACTATTAGAAATAATCAACAACTACAGCAAAGTAGCAGGGTATAAAATTAACGTGCATAAATCAGTAGCATTTCTATACACTAACAATGAACTAACAGAAAAAGAACTCAAGAACTCAATCCCATTCACAATCGCAACGAAAAGAATAAAATACCTTGGGATAAACTTAACCAAGGAAGTGAAGGATCTATACAATGAAAACTACAAGACTTTCTTGAAAGAAATTGACGATGACATAAAGAGTTGGAAAGACATTCCTTGCACATGGATTGGAAGAATAAACATAGTTAAAATGTCCATACTACCTAAAGCAATATACAGATTCAATGCTATCCCAATCAGAATCCCAAGAACATTCTTCACAGATATTGAACAAACAATCCTAAAATTCATATGGGGCAACAAAAGACCGCGAATTGCTAAAGCAATCCTGAGCAAGAAAAACAAAGCCGGCGGAATCACAATCCCCGATTTCAAAACATACTACAAAGCTACAGTGATCAAAACAGCATGGTACTGGTACAAAAACAGGTCCACAGATCAATGGAACAGAATTGAAAGCCCAGAGATAAAACCACACATCTATGGACAGCTAATCTTCGACAAAGGAGCAGAGGGCCTACAATGGAGAAAAGAAAGTCTCTTCAACAAATGGTGCTGGGAAAACTGGACAGCCACATGCAAAAGACTGAAAATTGACCAGTCTTTTTCACCACACACCAAAATAAACTCAAAATGGATCAAAGACCTAAAGATTAGGCCTGAGACAATAAGTCTTTTGGAAGAGAATATAGGCAGTACACTCTTTGACATCAGTTTCAAAAGAATCTTTTCGGACACTGTAACTCCTCAGTTGAGGGAAACAATAGAAAGAATAAACAAATGGGACTTCATCAGACTAAAGAGCTTCTTCAAGGCAAGGGAAAACAGGATTGAAACAAAAAAACAGCTCACTAATTGGGAAAAAATATTCACAAGCCACTTATCCGACAAAGGGTTAATCTCCATAATATACAAAGAACTCACACTGCTTAACAACAAAAAAACAAACAACCCGATCAAAAAATGGGCAGAGGACATGAACAGACATTTCTCAAAAGAAGATATGAATATGGCCAATAGACACATGAAAAGATGTTCATCATCGCTAATCATCACGGAAATGCAAATCAAAACTACACTAAGATATCACCTTACACCCGTTAGATTGGCAAAAACATCCAAAACCAAGAGTGACAAATGTTGGAGAGGTTGTGGAGAAAAAGGAACCCTCATACACTGTTGGTGGGAATGCAAACTGGTACAGCCACTATGGAAAACAGTATGGAGATTTCTCAAAAAGTTAAAAATAGAAATACCCTATGACCCAGCCATCCCATTACTGGGTATCTATCCTAAGAACCTGATATCAGAAATCTCAAGAGTCCGTTGCACCCCTATGTTCATCGCAGCATTATTTACAATAGCCAAGACGTGGAACCAGCCTACATGCCCAGAAACTGATGATTGGATAAAGAAGATGTGGTATATATACACAATGGAATACTACTCAGCCATAAAAAAAAGACAAAATTGGCCCATTCACAACAACATGGATGGACCTCGAGGGTATTATGTTAAGCGAAATAAGCCAGTCAGAGAAAGACGAACTCTATATGACTCCGCTGATAGGTGGAATTTAGTATATTGATAAGGAGATCTGATCGGTGGTTACCAGGGAAAAGGGGGGGTGGGGGGAGGGCACAGAGGGGGAAGTGGTGTACCCACAACATGACTAACAAAAATGTACAACTGAAATCTCACAAGGTTGTAATCTATCATAACATTAATAAAAAAAAAAAAATCCAACCACCTAGAAATAACCAGTGTTAATAGGACGAATTATATTCATAGGTTGTCTATTTCAATAGAATAAGCTGTGTGAGGAACAACGAGCATTTCTTTAGTGCTACATGTCATTTCTCATTAGATCTTGCGATCTAATAAGATCTATAATAATCTTATCATCATCATGTTTTATCTTCATCTTACAGAAAACACTGAGACTGTCACTTGCAGAAGGTCACCTACATAGTCCACATAATGGTGTATTATTCCCCTAATAAATTGTTTAATTTAAAAAAAAAAAATTAGTCGTATTCTATTTTTTTAACAGAGTATTGGGTATATGGCTATTCAATGTATTCTTTATGTCTTATACATATGTTATAAATATTACTATACGTATTAAATATTTAATTTAAAAATATATCCTGAATAGCATTTGGTACAAAGTAGATAAATTTGTAGATAAATTTGGGGGCTGATTGCCAGACTATTTTAGAATAGTGAGTATGAAGCTGTCTTTCCTGCAAGGCACTATGTCATTAAATCATTAGTTTCTGAAGGTCATTCTTAGTTCCTGACAGTTAACGTTGATATCAGCATTTTGGAGGGTACCAGTCGTCTATTTTTTGAGTTTGTGGATGCCAATCTAGAGACTTTAAATGTGCTTTCAGATCAATGAAGGTAATATTTAAAAAATAAGTGAGGTCAGATTATTTTTTACACTAATTCACATTTTAACTTGGTTTCTGAATATACTATAGCTTAGTGGTTAAGACTCTCGTGGTCTGAATCCTGGTTCCATCTCTCCGTCAGTGATATTCACCTCTTGGTGTTCTAACAGAGACCTCAGAACTTCTTGGGAGGGTGATTGTGAGCATTAAATGGATGGGAGTCACTGTTTTGCTGCTCTTAGTTTTTGGTACTCTGAGCAGTTCTTCTCAAATCTATGTATATTTATGTTAAATATTTAACAGGATTCCTAAGTAAGATTAATTTTTTAAAATTTGGCACTTACATCGACTTATTTTTGTATTTCTAGGTTAATCCTCGAGCACTGTTGTTTGGTCATACAGCTTCGATCACTTGTTTGTCTAAAGCTTGTGCTTCTAGTGACAAGCAGTATATTGTGAGTGCATCTGAAAGTGGGTAAGTATTTTCTTATTCACTGTTTTCCCTCATAAGTCTTCATTGCAAATAGTAACAGTATATTAGTAAGTAGGGAATTTTGTTTTTCTTTTGGAGTATCTTTTAAATAAATACTTCAGTTGTCTCAACCTAAAGAAAGATATTTGAAATATGGTTTTTAAAATGTGAATTTTATCTTTATTAATGATTTTTATAATCCTTTTATTGTAATTTATGGTTATGTTTTTGCCTTGCTCTTGAGAAACTCAGAATACCATAAAAATTAAAACATGATCATTAATCCCCATGGCATTTTTATTGAGTTGGCAGACAACTTTGAGGATTTTAAAAAAAACCTGAATGATGCCAGGCTAGCATAAATTTGGAATATGAGGCCGTGCAAAAGTTCGTACAGTTATAGTCATGTCTGTTAATGCACTAACATAACTATATATATTCCTGAATCTCAGAATATAACTTGTTTTTGGAGAGATAGGTCATTGGACAGTAGTTGTAGGGTCCAGAGTGTGAGGAATTTTAAAAACGTTTTTGGTGCTTAGAAAATTGTGTATTTACACAATATGTTATTAAAGTGGGGGAGCTGGAAGAGAGTTGTTTAAGAAGTTGTCCCTTCCACTCCTCGTAATTTGTGAATTTGAAGTGAACCTTGGGTAACAGTTTGGAACAAGAAGAGGCAGCATCAGGTAAAAATATTATACCTTTTGGTCAATTAAAGGATAATTCACATTAGAATGCATATTCTAAATAGATTGAGCATCCTTTGAAAAATTGTTTCATGGCATGTGAGATATAGGAAAGGGCATCTTAAAGAAAACCCAAATAATACCAGATCATTGCATTTTATTAGTGTTGTCTTCTGTTAAAGAAATCTTAAGTTTATTTCTTTAAAAGACAAGGCATATTGACTTTTCTAATTTTTAATGTTGTGTCTTTACTTTTGGGTAAAAATCTTTTTTCTCTGTGCACTCAAGACTTCTGCAATCAATACAGAATCAAAACTGGAATATTGTATTTAGTTTGCAAAGGTTTGGGATTCAGTTGACTTTGTTTTGTTTGTTTTTTGCAGTGCTAAATTTTCTAGCTATGTTGATAACCAGTGGAAAATCTCAGTGGTTTAAATGAAAAGTTTATTTCTTGTTTTTGTCACCCTTCCCTCATAGATCATTTGGGACTCTGCTCTGCTTCATAATTATCCTTGCTTTGAGGTTGAGGGTGAGGGAGCAACCACTATCTGAAGCAGCCACTATCTGGAATGGAGGCAGAGCAGATAGAGAGTTCTGGAGGGCCTCATATCCGTCTTAGCAGGTCTCATATCAGTTCTGGCTGATGTGAACTACTCACGAGACTCCCGCAACTAAAGGGAGCCAGGAAGCGCAGTCCTACCAAGTGCCCAGAAAGACTGTGGATCGAGGAGGGGTGGGCAGGTTGGAGGGTTGTTTAGGATGGTGGGTAGGAGGACCGGCATTTTTGACAAACAGCAATAATGACTATATACTACTTTTTATGAAATACATAGTTTTAATGGAAGATTAATTTTAAATCACTGTGACAAAATTAAACAGCGCTTTTAAAAATCAGATTTAAAGTTAGCTATTATTTTGTTTTATAGAGAAATGTGCCTCTGGGATGTGAATGATGGCAGATGTATTGAATTTACAAAGTTAGCCTGCACTCATACTGGCATACAGGTTAGTATCTATTTCTGTAACTGTCCAAGTCTGCACAATTTATTACAGATTAACAATTAAAAAATGTTTTTAAACATTGAGCCTATATTTTTAGATGAAAATTGGGCTGGAAGGGGTAATAGGACAAGAAGACTAGAATTGGAGTAGTAAAAGCATTCCTAATAAGATGGTATACTAGAGGAGGATAATACAGTAGAGGAGACTAATGGGGAAAGATGTAGGGTAAGACAGTTGCCATTGCTGCTTCTGCTGTTTCTGGCTATCTTGCTTACCCAAGTGAGAGCCCTTGAACTAGTTGGGTAAGTGCTTTAGGTCCTAAGTAATGGAATTCTCTTTTGCTAAAGCCTTTGTGATTCCATTTGTGATTGGCACAGTCCACTTTTTTGGATCATGCCCTTTTTATTGCTTGCATGCTTGGTTTTTTGGTACATTTTTTGACTTTCCAACTCTGTAGAAGAACTGACCAATTCATATGCCTGGCTTACATAGGAATTTATAGTTTCTTACTTACATTCTTGGTATTCTTTCTTACTCTTTCATAATTGTCAAGTTCTTTGTGCTTCAGTTTACTCATCATTCACTGTGTTGAGTGTTGGGGAAAATTACCAAGTATATAGAAAATATGATTTGTGTTCTCAATGGGGAAGGAGAGGGAAGAGAACTCATATTTATTGAGCAAATATTCTATAGGCATTTTTTTTATTTTCCGAAGATTGGCACCTGAGCTAACAACTGTGGCCAATCTTTTTTTTTTTTTCTGCTTTATCTCCCCAAATCTCCCCTGGTACATAGTTGTATATCTTAGTTGCAGGTCCTTCTAGTTGTGGCACATGGGACGCCGCCTCAATGTGGCCTGATGAGCGGTGCCATGTCCTTGCCCAGGATCTGAACCAGCGAAATCCTGGGCCGCTGCAGCGGAGCGTGCGAACTTAACCACTTGGCCACGGGGCCGGCCCCTGTATAGGCATTTTTAATATGTTATTTCATTTAGTCCTCCCCACATCCTTACAAATTAAATAGGAGTCTATCATTTTACATATAGGGAAGCTGATACCCAGAGTGATTAAATGACTTGCCCCCGTCTCTCAGTGAGTCATTCATGGCGCCAGGATCCCAAATCAGGTTTATCTGACTCTAGGGACTGTGTTCTTTCCGTTATGTCATGCTGCCTCCCTTAGAACAAATAAAATCATTTGTTGAGGAAGAAAACCTTCTGTGCTAACACAAATTAGGAAAACAATGAAAAATGTTTGTGGGGAGGTGGTATTGAGTGTGATATAGGTCTTTAGTGATTATTTCTTGCCCTGGCAAAGGCCTTTTAAAAATAACTTCTTTAATGCTGTTAGGGTGTATGCTTTCTGTTTAAAGGGCATATATTATTTATTTTTTATCATATGAAGGATCATCCAGGTTTATAAGGAGAAAAGAACTAATAAAATTATGTAGAGTCTTTGACTTTATAATTTATTTTAATTGAAAAATTATATATAAATGTCTCGAACTCATTGCATATAAGTATTTTGACCAATGTATAATTTTATGATTTAAAAACTTTTGGTTTATATTTTAGGAAAAATTATCTTTATTTATTCAACATATTTTCAGTGCCTACTATTTATCAGATCCTGTATTAGGCCCTCTGCATTTAGATTGGCAGCCATCTCTAAGCAGAAGATACTTTTTGGTAGATGCACTAATGTGTGACAGTCGTTCTTTGTGTGATCCTCAGCCTCGCACGTCCAGAAGCAGGTTGTTTTTTAATATACATAGAAATCATAAACCTTGGTGACATTGGCACTTAAGTGAAATCACAAGGAAATGCCAACTTACTAAATTATTACATGAGGGCATCTCTTTTTAATATTTGGGAAACTTATTTCTCCATTCAGGATACCTTTTTTGCCGTTATCAAAGTGTCTTAGAAGCTAAAGCAGAACATCGTTTGGGAGTATAACTTTAAAGCAACAGTGAGAGGCGTGTAGTCAGGCAGGTCTAATGAAGTAGCCCTGCCCTCAGGAGAGAGCTTTTCTCTAGTGACTGCCATGCACACATCTTTCCTGGCTGGTGTCTGATGAATGTTGATGAAGTTTGCTTCTCTGCACCCATCTTTTACTCCTTGACACATTCCTCCCTTGTATGGGTCAAGGCGACCTGTGTCACGCTATGAGTGTCTGGCGATCCCTGAGACCTCCAGGTTGTGTGTTGTGTTTTTGGATCTACCCCCTGCAGTCTGTGGTATCTGCATTTTAGTAGACCCTCCCTCTTTTGGAGTTTTAGTGGTGCTACCTTGTACTTAGTAAATGCTCTGCATAATCAATGCTTATGTTTAAGAAGTTGTATTCCTTCTTATACAGGGTACTCCATAGTTGAGAAAAGATTGTCTTCCATCACATACAGTGTTGAGCTGTAAGAACAGGACTGATGAGTGTGGGAGCAGACTGGAGCCAGGTTTCTTAGTTATTTCCCCAGTTGAGGAGTAGTTACAGCATTGCCCTTTGTGCTGTATCTAGCTTGCCCTCACATGATTCAGATAAGGTCCAATCCCTTGGGAAGTAGTAGTCTGGGTGTTGGATTTCATCGCCTTCTAAAAATCCTCTAGGAGAATCATCCCACTAAGAAAGTCACTTATGTTTTTGGAAGACAGGTGCTTTGGTAAATTGTTGGTCTTGTTTTGATAGTTATTCTTCCTTTACTCTTTGGTTGATGGAAACCCATCTTATCCTCTTAGTTATTTGTGGCATGAGTAACGCGTAGTACCTGATTGTATTGGTTCTTCCCCTTTTTCCCACATAGTCTAAATGTGCACTATAAGGATGGTTTAAATAGTTGTCTCATACTCTAGTCTCAAATAACACACTTAGATTAATCAGAATTTACTTCTGATTATAATATGTTTGAATAGCAATCATCTTTACTTCTAAATTTTATTTGGTCATAACTAGTAATTATAAGCCTATACTGACCTGTTCCCATTCATCTAAAATTCATATTATTTTTGTGACCCACTTGAGTAACCTTTGCTTTGATTTGTGAAGCTGATTTTATTCGGGTGTCTTATTAATTCATTCAACGGTCCTGTTTTAGATGTTCCAGGAGGATAAAAAAGAATTAGGAATTCTGCTCCAAAGTAGTTCAAAAGGGAGGGTAAGATGTTAAGAAAAGAATAATTTTTGTTAGATATTTTGAAATATTAATGTAACTTGATGTGTGTTTATGTGTATACATAGACATATATAATAGGTACCATATAGTACATGTCTGGAAATATTATTGAAGAAATTGAGCATCATAATAAGCTTGATGAATGCATGCAAATCAAGTATCTAAAGTAAAGGAGAACATTTAAAAATCTTTTTTCCTTTTAGTTCTACCAGTTCTCTGTTGGAAACCAGAGAGAAGGAAGGCTTTTATGCTATGGCCATTATCCTGAAATCCTTGTTGTGGATGCCACCAGCCTTGAGGTGTTATACTCCTTAGTCTCAAAGATATCTCCAGACTGGATTAGCTCCATGAGCATTATTCGATCCCACCGAACACAAGGTCAGTGTGTGGTGCCCTTTAGGAACTGCTGCACCATGACTTAATGGTTAGTTTGCTGTAGAGTTCTATAATGTATCATATGTTAATATATTTGGTTATATTCTTCTATTTAAGAAATAACTACTCTAATAATTTATGGTCTGTTTCTACCTTCATAAAGGAATCTTTGATTGAATTACGATTTAACGTGTTACATTATCTCCATTCCACGGAATAGATCACTAGCTTTTGGCAGTCTTAGAGTATGTGGGTGATTTTCTGGAAATCAGCACATAGCTTTTTACTCAACAGCCATTCAACAAATATTTATTGAGTGCCTGCTATCTTCAGAAGATTGAACTACTGAAAGAACTCGAATTCTAAAAAGGGAGCATCATATGTAAACAAATGGCAGTTCAGGATGTAAAGTGTAACAAGGTAGAGAAGTAGAGAGAGGCTGGAATTAACGAATACAGTAAAGGGGCTTGAGGACAAGTTGGAAGGCTGCCCAGATTAGACAAAATCTAGGATTTGAAAAGTGAGGAGGAATTCGTTTGGCAGACATAGGGATCAGGATGTTTCTGGCCAAGAAAATGGTTTGTACACAGGACCTAAAGCATTAATACTAGTCTAGGTATGTGAGGGGAAACTAAAATACCTGTTTTCAGGGCCAAATAGTTTGAGGGAAGGAATTAGGAACATATGACGTTGGCAAAGTTGGCAGGGGACAGATCATGAAGGGCCTTGTGTGCCAGCTGGGGAACTTGGATTTCATCCTGTAGATCAGGGTTGGTAGACCTGTACCATAAAGGCTTTGCAGGCCGTACAGTCTGTGTTTCAACTACGCAACTCTGCTGACATAGCACAAAAGCAGCCATAGGCAATGCAAAATAAAAGAGCCTGTCTGTGTTCTAATAAAACTTTATTTGTAAAAAACAGCCAGTGAGCTGGATTTGATTGATGAGCTGTAGTTGGCTGGTCCCTACTGTAGATGATGGCTGTCACTGGTAGAAATGCTTGAAGGGACTTAGGTTTTAAACATCACTTTGGTGGCATTGTTGAGAAAGGTTTAGATGGGAGCAAAGCAAGTTTGGAGATTATTTTAATAGCCCAGCTGAGAGTGGTGCAGATTTGAACTAAAGCAGTGACTATGGAAGTAGGGTGGATGGACTTGCAGCATTTCCACAGGGCTGTTCTCTGTTCAGAGCATTGGTTCTGAAGTTTGTAATGGTATTAGTGAAAAAGAAGGTTTCTATCGTCAAATATAGTTAGGAGATGTGTGGTGAAATAAAATTAAGCAGGCTTCTTTAATGTGGGACTTTCTCAAGGAGAGGGTTTTCATGCATAATAGAGAATTACTGCTTTATTCCTGAGCATAACAGTGAAATGAGACACAACTTTAATTTCCAGGCAATAGGGAATCATTATCAGCATGTTCACCTTTAATCTTAATTACAATCAATATTTTCTTGAAAAAAAGGACTACATTTGTGAAAGCAGTTTGCTCATTTTGAATTTTCACACTATTTCCATTTATGAGATATACATGTACACACTGGTCTGAACAGCATAGAGTATAACTTTGATGAAAACTTTTGTGCTTTGCATACAATTCTAAATGTTATCAGTATATAATGTTGCAAATGTATACAATTTTTAATCTGCATTTACCATATTCTAGTCTGTGGCTATTTGAAAATTTTAGATGTATTGATATTTTTAAATTTTTATTGTAATTGACAGTTTATGAGCAGTTGTTATAACTTCTCTGTGCAGGATCATGGAATTGTAATCAGTGCATTCCAGTGCCTTACATTGCCTGGGGAACTATGTAATACAACAAGGTTTTTACTTAAAGATAGCAAACAAATCTTTTTAATAAGAGTAATAACTCGTCTTTATTGATATGTCGAATGCTATACCTGTGGTGTGTCTTAATTCTTATAACAACCCAGAAGGTAGGTACTGTTGCTATACATTTATATTTGCTTACAGATAAGCAAATTGAATTTAAGATAGCTAAGTTAAGTTATCCGCAGTTCATGGTTCATTAGTGAGGAAAATGTGATCTTAGCACACACCCTTCTCACTCTGGAGCCTGCGTTAGACTGCTTTCTCATGTCCCTCCTCTCAGAGTTCACCTATATTACCGTGGAGCTGCGACTGCTCCCTTACTGGAAGCTTATGAATTTAGGTTTTATATTGCATCTTTCTCTTGATCACAATCTATGAAGAGTCCAGTGTGCAATAAAATGTCTAGAAGGCAGATAAGGTAGGTGGGAATGAGGGAAATGCATGCCTTGAAGAAATGAATTGGGTGTGCTCATCCATGATAAAAAATTAAAAGTTGTGAATTTTGAAGAATAAAAGTTCTTTGTTAACATAATGATCAAGAACATTTGAAATTATTAAAAACTTGTTGATTAGAAATAAAAAAAGTAAGTTCAAGTAGCTAGAAACAACTTTTCTTTGCATTCCAAATTTTTGGTCATCTTTATTATGTTTCAAAATCTGGTTTCTGTTATTTCATGAAATATTGAGTTGTGTTTTTATGCCAGTTGTAAAACATACTGTTATTCAATTTCATTAAAGCGAACCATGTTACTGTTTAGAAAGAAAGCATATTGTGTTTGTAACCTTGACTTCTTGTTCATTCTCGACTTAGAGGACACTGTGGTGGCACTCTCAGTGACAGGCATCTTGAAGGTGTGGATTGTTACCTCTGAAGTAAGTGGCATGCAGGTGAGACAAATGAGACTGGAAGTGATTTCTCTGTTTTTCTTCTTATGAAGTCTTAAATTTTAGGGGCTGGCCTGGTCGTGGAGTTGTTGGGTTTGCGCACACTCCGTTTCAGTGGCCTGGGGTTCACAGGTTCAGATCCTGGGTGCGGACGTAGCACCACTTGTCAGGCCATGCTATAGTAGCATCCCAAATAAAATAGAGGAGGATTGACACAGATGTTAGCTCAGCGACAATGTTCCTCAAGCAAAAAGAGGAGGATCGGCAACAGATGTTGGCTCAGGGCCAATCTTCCACACGCACACACGCGCACACACACACACACAAATTTAGTAATGCTATGCCCCTTCCTTTTTTTTCTTAAAGGGGAAGGAAAAAGCTTTTCCCTTTTGATAGCCTTATTGGTATAGTCTAGAAGATCCCCTAGTACACTGTGTCTGTAAGTGCTTTATTTTTTTCATTTTTGATGGTAGTCATCTGCTCTACCAAGGATATGAAATAGCGAAACATGTTTCACAGGATATAAAGTAGAGAAACATGGAAGAGGTGGGACTTTCCTCAGCTGCCTCTGTTTAACGTTAAGAGGTAGTTTGCTTGAGAGAAAAAATAAAGCAAACCACCGCAAAAACTATATAAGGCCAATTTCAGTTTTAGTCTTCTCTCTCTGTTCTTTGGGCATGAGTTCCTTGTTACTTTTTATCAGTAAGAAAGGCAGGTCAATTTTTCTGACAATATTGATGCAAATCTCTTCAGCTGGGAAATTTTTAAACGTTGAATCTGGGGGAAAGGAGAGGGATTGGCCAGTTTTTTTCTTTTTAAACCCAAAAGCAATTATAGCTACGAAAATTCGCATTTACTCAAACTTTTCTCATCTGTTGTTACCAGATTGGTGACAGTCTGATTCTCATCAGTATTTTAACGTTAAGGAGCTTTGTAGCAAAGATGTAGTGGCCAGATGTTTTCAGAGTTTATACCTTGGTTCTCATGTGAGGGGTTAACATGATGAACGTATCAAGTGATGTCTTTGTTTCATTTATTTTCTTTATCATTATGTGATAATATTAATTGACAGCCAAGCCATTCCTAAAGTTTTTCTTTCTCTTTTCAGGATACTGAGCCAATATTTGAGGAGGAATCCAAACCAATTTATTGTCAGAATTGCCAAAGCATCTCTTTTTGTGCATTCACACAAAGGTCACTTTTGGTTGTGTGCTCCAAATATTGGAGGGTAAGATAACTACAAAAGTAAGAAGCTGTATTTTTACCCTTCAAGATGTTGGTTTATGAGGCTTCCGAAGATAATTGTAAGGAAGAGCTTGGTACAAGAATATTTTAACCATTCGGAATTCATGTGTGATTCTGATATCATACTTTGAGGTGTTGAGATTTGACTATATGTAGTTGTCTTTTTTCTTTTGGTTTATAGAATGATTCAGTTAATGACTGTTATTCTACTGATCTTCATTTCTACCTTTTGCTACTATTTCAGTCATTATCTTGTCAGTACAGCATAAGCAGTGGTGGTGAGTTTTCTGCAGGTTGACGTATCTTTGTAGGTTGTTATTATTCCCAATTGCCGCTCTGTTCTGAGTTCCTGGAGTTGGGAAGGTCTTCCTCCATTCCTTCAGAGCTAGTGGTGGAAGGAGTATGTTACTTCCATGTTGTCAGACTTTAATATTTCGGTAATAGAAGAAGAGCCGCCATGTTTTGACCACTTGCTCTATGCCTAGCGTGTTTTTCAAAGCTTTCCATGTATTATTTCTTTTAATCTTCACAACTCTCTAAGGGGAATTGTGTTAGTTATCTAATCCTGCATAATAGATTACTCCAAAACTTAGCAGTTGCAAACAACAAACATATCATCACCCATCTGACACGTGTATCACCACCCCATCTGTAGGTCAGGGATCTGGGCATGGCTTAGCTGGGTACTTCTGGCTCAGGGTCTCTCACAGGCTGCAGTCAACGTGTTGGCTGGGATTACAGTCTCATCGTAAGGTTCAATGGGGGTTGGATCTTCTTCCAAGCTTGCTTACTTGGTGGTTGGTTGGCAGGCCACAGGCCCTCTTGGCTGTTGGCTGGAGACATTAGTTCCTTGCCGTGTCGACCTCTGCATAGAGCAACTCACAGCATGGGAGTTCTCTTCTCTCAGAGTAAGTGAGCAAGAGAAGATGTAACCAAGATCTATCTAATCCTGGAACTGAGATCTCGTCACCTCTGCCATATTTTGTTCTCTAGAAACAGTCACATAATCCAGCCTACACTCAAGGGAGAGCATTATAGGGTGTGAATACCAGGAGTCAGGGATCAGTGGGGCAATCTTAGAGGCTGCCTACCACAGTGGGAATTGTTCCTTTCCCCATTTTGCAGATAAGGCAACTGAGGCATTGGGGGGATAAATAACTTGACTAAGATTATACAAGTGGTAGTGGAGTTGCTGGAGTAAAGCTCGGGCAGTCTGACTGTGGCAGCCACTCTCATTACCGCCACTTTCTACTTCTTCAGAGGGGCGGGGCAGTGTAGGAAAAGGCATGACTAGGGCAGCAGCATCTTCAACCGCATCCTTGCCATTGCCACTGCTTTGGAATAAGATTAGAGAGGAAAAGCTAGCAGTGGTCCTTTTCTTAAATGCACACACAAGAATGAGAGGCAACCCACAGAGTGAGAGATGGTAGTGATACACATATGATGAGGCACTCATCTAGTATTTATAAAAAACCAACTCCCAGAAATCAAGAAGAAAAACACAGACAACCCATAGGAAGATGGACAAAAACATTTCATAAAAGAGGAAAGCCAGATGGCCAATAAATGTGTAGAAAGATGCTCAGCTTCATTAATCAGAGCAATGCATGTTAAAGCAACTCTGAAATAGTACTACAACTCACCAGAATGACTTTTTCAGATATTTATTGTCAGAAAGAAGTTTTCAGTTTTAAAATGGTTAAATGGACATCTTTTATTTTATGGTTTCTAAAACAATTTGTGACGTGTTCTAAAAGGCTCACCACAGCTGAGATTTTTTTTTAAATCTTTTATTTTTTCCTAATGTTTGTATAATTTTACCTTATATACTTTTGAATCTTTAATCTGGAATTTATTCTGTATAAACTGTGAGATGTAGATCCAATTTTATTTTTATTCCAGATTGACCCCTCCAGTTCCTGATGCCGTTTGTTGGATAATTCATTTTTCAATTGTGCCTTTATAATATACCATATTCCTGTATTAGGGGAATCTGTTTCTGGACTTGTTGATTTGTCCATTTATGCATTAATATTGTATTGCTTTATTTTCTATAGCTTTATAATTTGTATTAATAGATAATGGGGCTGGAGGGCTGGTCTCCCTTCATTCTTTCTTGGACTTGTCTTGGCTATTCTTGTAGTGCTAATGTTATATATGATAAATATTGTAGCAAGTCATAGTAAAAAAGCTAGGATTTGTTCTAATTTCAATGCTCTGTACAAACAACTTCATTGCTTTTTCTTTAAAGAAAAGTAGAATAAAAACTCTTGGCCATTGAATTACTCATTCCTTCTAGGGAAATTTTCTGGCAATATAGAATGCACTTTTATCAAATATTGAAAGTGATAGAAAAATTCTGCTAGACATTATAAGATCAGGATTTGTAGTCCTAGCTTTATCACTTACTGGACATATGACCTTGAGCATGATGTAACCCTTATTTGTGTCGGTTTTCTATATATAAAATGGGTTAGCAATACTTGCCTGCCAGCCACCTGCAGTGATTCATACGAGATAATGATTGTAAAGGTATGTTGTAAACTTTGGTGTGCCTTAGAAGTGTAAGGTCCCAGAAGGTCAGCAGCCTGTGTGGCTGATGAAATTTTAGGGACTTGACTTTTATATGTGAGAATTATTAAATAATAAAACTGAGTCTAAGTTCCTATTTACAGTATTTTAGTACATTGATGAAATAAGGTAAAGTAAGTTAATTCCTCTATTAACAAAGAGACATTCTGGTGTCAGAGTTTATTGTTAGAAACATTGTTACTGGGCATAGAAATAAAACAGGGGTCATAACCATGCCTTCTAGAGGTTGGCTCCCTGTAACTTGTCATTCTTTGGTGCAGCACTCTCCCTTTAGATAAGAAAGGCTAGGAATTCCTCTCCCTGTGTAGAGGAGCACCCCTGCTCCGCCTGTCAGGGTCACTGCCTGACCACTGGAGGCTGCATGCAGCTGGGGACCTAGTTGTGTTTTCCCTTGGAAGGTGCCTGTGCCCCAGTGATCACTGACAAAATGTCTTTAACTGAGGTAGCCAACTTTAAAGTCCTGAGTTTATTAAATATATTTCCAGAAGTTTTTGGCTTTTTTTGGTTGAAATGTGGCTGTATCTTACTTAAAGGACACTACCATGGACTATATTGTGAATTTCTTATTTCTTGTAGGTATTTGATGCTGGAGACTATTCCCTGTTGTGTTCAGGTCCGAGTGAAAATGGACAGGCATGGACTGGAGGTGACTTTGTATCCGCAGATAAAGTAATCATTTGGACTGAAAATGGGCAAAGTTATATTTATAAACTACCTGCCAGGTATTCAATCAATACTAAAGTAGGACTTTAATCAAAAGCAAAGGATTCCGAATTTGCGATATAACCTGAAAGTATGAAAATGTATAAAGTATAAATATTTAATTTAGGTAAAAAGCTTCAGAACTTATTAAGTTAGATTTGTAATTACAGTTTAACTTATAAGTACAAAAATTAAGTGGATTTTTATTTGAAGTAAGATATTTTAATACCATTAATTTTTTAGTGCCTATATTAAATTAACTATAATTTAAAAATCCATATTTTGTTCATTGTCAAAAAAACCTCATCATATTGTGTGATATAATATTTAATGTCAGTACTGTCAGGTGTTGCTTAACAACTGGGGTACTTTCTGAGAAATGTGTCGTTAGGTAATTTCGTCATGCGTACATCATAGAGTGTACTTACACAAACCTAGATGGTATAGCCTGCTACACACCTAGGCTGTATGATACTCATGTTATATTGTCTATATATATATACTCATGGACCATTGTCATACATGCAGTCTGTCATTGACCAAAATGCCATTGTGTGGCGCATGACTGTATTTTAATTGAGTTGAATGTTGTATTTTTCTCATTTTCAGTTGCCTTCCAGCTAGTGATTCATTCCGCAGCGATGTGGGGAAAGCAGTTGAAAATTTAATTCCTCCTGTACAACATAGTCTTTTGGATCGAACAGATAAAGAGGTAAAATTCTTTAGGTATCATTTATAATTGGTAGTTACAGTGAAAATTTTCGCAACTATATTTATTAGTGTCTTTTGGTAGATAACTATTTGAAAGATTAGTACAATTCAAGGCACTGTATTAGGTGTTGTAAAACATTTTGACATAGTCACTAATAAACACAGCTTTAAAATTTGCATGTCTTAAACATGTAGTATGCCTATACTATAGCATACACTTTTCTCTCAGAGCACAAATGATCTTATTGTGATTACATAGTGGAAATGACTTTTTGTTAAAATTCATATAGATGGTGTAAATTTATTTTGTACTCTCATGCAGTTGTAAACATAGACAGATGTAATTTTAGAAGAGCAAAGATAATCATGTACTAATGCTGACTAATAATAATTCATTACTTAAGGCATTGCAGTATCTCCCCCAAATCCTGTAGTGATTTAAATCATTAGGCAAGAAGTTTTTTTGCTATAAAAAGTTTATTAGGATTTTTAAAAACCTGCTTAATATCAGGTTAAAGTTGAAATGCAACAGCACTTAATACTGGGTTTTCAACTCTGTATTCTTTGAGCTTTAGGAAAGAAGCTTTGGTTTTGGAAATAGTTTCCTTGACTTATATTCTGGGTTTACACAGCTTTTTATTCTGAACATTGTGTTCCATGTTTATGTGGAGCGATGATAAGGGGAAAGGAATTGTTTTTTTCTATGAATATTTTGAATATACAGAATTTATACATCTGTGTACAATGGAGAGCCTCTATAATCTGTCCTTTATTCTCTTAACTTAAACTCCTACTTCTTGCTGTTCAAACTAGATGATCACTTCCAGTTAAACTAAGGAATAATGACTTGTGTAAAAAAAAATGTAAAACAAAACAAATACATATCCTATTTCTTTAAATATCAGCAACCAATACATTTTAAATTAAAATATATGTATTATGTGGTGTGAGATACACATTGAAATATGGAATGTTGGTTACTCCAGCTACTGTAGTAAGTTTTCCTTGTTAAGCATGTTGTTTATCAATTAAAACTTTTAGTAATTTTCAGACTTTAAGTTAAATCAAATAATTGATTATGCTTATTATATATAGTTTCTCTGCTCTTTAGGAAACAACTAATATCAAATATGATAACTATGTTAACTATGATTGTCAAAACTGAAGCCTACTTTTTACTGCTTTTCAGGATAAGATTCTATGGTTTAATTTTCAAGTATTTGTGAATTAATAATCTAAACTTTAGTTTTAGGAGTCCACCACTATTCAGTATTTTCAAATAAGTGATCTCACTGAAAGCACAAGTTCTTAGCAGAAAACTAATTTGTTTTAAAAGTGAAAATATTCACAAGACCGTAAGAATGGTTTTTTGTTCCTGTAGTTTATAGCTAACATATCAGGTGAGGTTCATATTAATTATGTAAATGTGACCAAGGAAAATGTCATGCTGTTAGTTGAAAAATATACTAATTAAAAAATGGAGTCCTCTAGTTGTCCAAGCTGGTGTAATTTTGCTGCTATTCTTAGTGCTTAATCAGGAATGGCAAAAGGCTACGATTAGTGAATTCTTCCCTTTTGACCTTATAAGTGGAGACCTTTCTTTTTGGTAAAGAGTGGTATATCTTTGTATTATTCTTTAATAACAGACAAATAAGTTGCATTGTTATGTGAGTAATCGGTTTTTATAAAGCAGAGAAAAAGAATATAAATGCTAATTCTAGAGAAAGACTGTAAATGTAGCTTTCATTTCTTTGAATGTTTGTGTTACACTGGATTTGAGTATTAGTTGATATGTACATTAATGCTACAAAATTATATTAAAATACTGTTGAATACTCATGCTATAAACATTTTTTTTAATTCTGGTACTCAGGCAAAGTACTTAACTAACATCCTTGTCTGAAAAAATGTTAATGTGTGAACTATTTTGATTAAAAAGATAGCTAAAGAAATTTGAACAATTTCTTTTTTTTGGCAGTTGCTAATTTGTCCTCCTGTCACTCGGTTCTTCTATGGAGGGAGGGAATACTTCCATAAACTGTTAATTCAGGGTGATTCATCTGGGAGATTGAATATTTGGAACATATCGGACACACCTAATAAGCAGGAAGGTGAAGAAGGTAATAGTAAATTATGTGCAGCAATTTCTTAATTCTTTTAATTTAACAACCTAAATACCAACCACTGAATAACAAGTTTATAATGTACATGTCATTTTCATCTTAGAATTATAGTTGATGACAATTATCATTCTTTGGTATATTACTGAATCAACTATAGACACATTTATTTTAATATGTTTAATTTTTTTTCTGACATGCACAAATGTTTTTCTTTCATACAAAACAAAACCTCCACAGGGCTGGAAATGACTACTTCTATTAGTTTGCAAGAGGCATTTGATAAACTGAATCCCTGTCCTGCTGGAATTATAGATCAACTGAGTGTGATTCCCAATAGTAAAGAACCTCTTAAAGTAACTGCAAGTGTGTACATACCAGCACATGGACGGCTTGTTTGTGGCCGTGAAGATGGAAGCATCATTATTGTACCTGCTACACAGACAGCCATAGTACAGCTGCTACAAGGGGAACACATGCTCCGAAGAGGTATACTTGAGATCTACCAATGTCTAAAGTGTTCCGAGAGATCTGTAACCGTGATATTGACAATGACCTCATTCAGTGTTTTTAGCAAATGATGAGTCAATATAGTTGTTAGTATGCTATGTAGTTGATAGAATTGAATGTGCAGACAATAAAATACTTAGTGGCTATTATTGGAATAAATACCATGTAATGACTATAAATACAGAAATGTCCAGTTTTATCTTTGATATATGTTCATAGTTCCATTTATTAGTTATCTCTATAGTTTACTAAATAATTACCTTATTATCAGTAATATTGGTAATCTTTTAGAACAGTGCTGTCCAGTGGAAATATATATATGTAACAATATATGTGACTTTCTAATAGCCATATTAAAAAAATAAGAATGAAGCAGGTGAAATTAATTTTAATAATATATTTTATTTAACTTGATATAGCAAAACTGTTTTCATTTCAACTTGTAATCAGTATAAAAATTCCTAATGAGATGTTTTGTATGACTTTTTTGTGCTAAGTCTTTTCTAAGTCTTTGAAATGTGCTAAAGCACATGTCAAGTGCTCAAAAGTCTCACGTGGCTGGTAGCTACTGTATTGGACAGAGCAGTTCTATAGGATAAAATTAGAAGTCTTTTCTATAATAAAATTTATAGCTATTCTGATAATTCATGTTTACTTTTATTTGTTGAACTTTATAAGACTTTAATATTCCCATTTTAAATCCAAAACCTCATTCACAGGTTGGCCACCTCACAGAACACTTCGTGGTCATCGGAACAAGGTCACATGTTTGCTATATCCTCATCAGGTCTCAGCTCGTTATGATCAAAGATATCTGATATCTGGAGGTGTGGATTTTTCAGTCATAATTTGGGACATATTTTCCGGAGAAATGAAACATATCTTCTGTGTACATGGTGGCGAGATTACTCAACTTCTAGTTCCACCTGAAAACTGTAGTGTAAGTTGATCATAAAGTATTATTTCGCTATAGTAGAGCTGAATTATGTTGCTCTCAGGCTTAATATAAATGGAATCTAGAGTAATTTAAAGAAACTCTCACAAGAGAATTAAACTGTGACAAAAGAACTGTGACAAGACAATAAACTAAACCTTTTCAATTTTAACACTAAATAGGATCAGCCCAGTGGCTTAGCGGTTAAGTTCGAGTGCTCTGCTTCGGCAGCCCATTGTGTGCCAGTTTGGATCCCAGGAGCAGACCTACGCACTTCTTCAGGCATTCCCACATATAAAATAGAGGAAGATAGGCACAAATGTTAGCTCAGGGCCAATCTTCCTCAGCAAAAAGAAGAGGATTGGTGGTGGATGTTAGCTCAGGGCTAATCTTCCTCAAAAAACCAAAACAAACAAACAAAATAACTAAATAATGGTGACATATAATATTTAGGTAAAGTTATTATTTCCTGTTTGGCACAAAGAAATAAAAGATGCACATAGTGTTTTTTCCTTTTATTATCTCCTAAATAGCATGGCTTGTCCCTGAAACATAGTAGCAGTTTAGAATGTGTTTATGGAAGTTTCAATTTTGTTTTAAAATAGTTGAAACATCTCCAGAGACATTCTACAATCTCATTATTTTCAGCTCCATCTGAGCAAAAAGATAGTGAACATTTACTTTGGTAAAGGTAGAATACATGTAAATAGAGTGTCTTTAAATAAACAATTATTGTGACAAGGGAAAGTATAACAGTCACTGATAATGACTTTGGAAAATTTTGTACATACCTTTGTGGATGCAGGTTCATTTCTTAGTGACGTGTGAAAGGCAGGCCATGATGTCAAGTAAAACGCTTAATAATTTTAGAAATATGAGATTTTAGGAGGGCTTAGGACTAGTAAATAATGGGCTCATAATTTCTTTCACTGTTTGTTAATCGTGAACTTGTTCATGTGATTAGCCGCCTTTGTGTGCATAATCAACCATTCCCCAACATTCACGCACGGATGTGTGTACACAAACACACTATCTTCTTGCATGCACATTCATGCTTCTCATGACCCATTCATTGTCACCAGTTATGGCCTTACTGAAATGGAAAACACTTTACTCGTATATCTGATACCATGTTCACAAGGTGTCTCATTTCAAAACCCAAGTAATTTTCCTTGGCCTTTCTGCTTCCTTACTTAATCTTCCTGATAATGTGTTTTATTTCCGTGTTCTGCCAGTGCTAGATTTTGTTTGATTTGATATTGGTGGTGGTGTAGGAAGTCCTAGTACCACTGTCTCTCTTTTTGTTTTTTTTGCCAGATTTGAAAATTCAGGTTCTTAATCATTCTCTTACTTCTTTTTTTATTCCTGCCTTTTCCTTTCTTTCCTATTTGGTTATTAGTTTCTTATCTTCATCTCTGCGAAAAATTGCTACGTGTTTATTTAAATAACAATTTTATGTTTATTTTAGTGAAATAGGTATCATCGTAATTGCACTCATAAGTTATAACACTGTTACAACCCCTGTCCTGAACTTCATTTTACGGTAGTTATGCCCCATAGTGAAACATGAGAATTTTCAAAAATTTGGTGAAATATCTAATTTTTTTATTCTGAAATTGATTATTTTTTACTAGTTTAGAACAACCATTTCTGATTTGGCTGATTTTTGGTTTTATAAGAATAAAACTTTTAAAATATTAGAGTAATATATTTTTTAAGTTACAAATATGAGTAAAAGGAAAGTTTGGAGTGGTTTACATTAAGGCCATGTTTTCTTTTTGAACGATGTTAATATATACGTTTTGTAGCTTATATGTTTGTATGAGAGCATTTTCTGGTTTCTTTTTAAAGAATTTCAAGTGAATATTTAATAAAAAGTTTTTGACTAATTGCGTTTAAAAATAATTTGTATTGATTAAAAAACTGCCTCATAGACATATATGCAACTAGATAGAGAATGGGCTCCTTACTAGACTAGGGGCAGGCCAAAAGGTGCTAGTTGCCTGGGGAATGTAAAGAAGAGAGACACAGACAAGGAAGTCCAGAACTTGGAAAATAATGTATGACTTATAATTTACTTATTAGAGGCTCAACAATGGAGATTTTTCTTGTTTTCAATTGACATTCAAAAGTACTGATTAAGACAAAGAAATTCACGTTTAGGTTTGTGATAATTTAATAAGTAAATAATGACTGCCTTGTTAATAACCTGTTCATTTTTAGGTACATCAGCTAATGTGTTTGAAGATCCAAGAGCCAAACTGATTAATAAAAGGCTAAGAATTTGATGTTTGCTGAATGTTTGGCAGATGACTGTTTTGCTGAGATTAAAGTTAATGGCACCATATGCTTGTTCTAGTGCTTGAATTGTCCCTCTTATAAATTGATCCAGTGTCATTCATTTTCTTTTAGCATAAAATATTTTTATTTTAAAGTTGTGATCTGGTGGTTGGAAGATTATAAATACTTACTAAACCTAATGATTAAAGATACATACTGAAAGAATTTCGTCTGCTTTTTTGGCTAGAGTTTTGGTTTTTATCTTAGGTAGATTCAGAAGTTAAGTTTTGACTTACTGCATTTTTTTTCAGGAAAAGATATACTAAAACAGAGTAATGTTAGTTGTATTTTAACAATTACTTAAATTATAATAAAGAATGTATAAGGTTGATGATTTTTTCCTTTCTTATTTTGTAGTCATTTCATGTTTACTGAAATATAGGAGGTTGTTAAAAAAAAGTACTAAGCAAAATCAGTTTGTCTCCTAGCTTGAGTAGACAGTGAAGAAACAATGAACTCCTGTCTGCTGGGTGGAAAAGATGCCGCAGCTGGAGATGAGCTCTGAGGACCGACTGTACACTCTTTCACGACTTTGTATGCATGTCTCAGTAGACAAATAAGATGTACTTAGTTTTCTACCATCTGGGTGTTTCTTTGTCATTCTTTCTTTCCCCACTCCTTCATTTTTGTGCTATTTTAGCATCTGTTAAATTAAAAAAATTCGACTGAGTAAATTTTAAATATCTTCTTGGCTTTACTGAATGATTCATCCCATGTAGGAAGTAGGTAGGAGCTCAAAAGGGCTACAGAAAGGGAAAGATTTTTAACAAAAAAGATTATTTTATGCTTGGGTAACCTACCAATGGGGGCAGAAGGAGTCCATGTGGCAGGTTACCTCCTCTTCCTTTGGAGGATGGAAGGGATTACCTCATTGATGCTGACCAGAGTCTTGCCCACTGACCAGTTAATACTGTATTCCTGGGGAAGGTTGTAACTGCACTTAGGTCAGGTATTAAGTCTTGGTTTGCTTAGCACAAGTGACTCCATTTTGGGCCGTTGTTTCTTTTTAACACATCTTTCTACCTGAAATCTTTCCAAATTCTTGCTATAGATTAACATTAACTTAGTGCCAGACTCAGTGGCTCTATATATTTTATTTTTAATAAACTATTTCTCTATTCTTTTATTAATGGGAGTTTTAATTATTTAAAAAATTTGACATGTTCATAGATGGTAAATATTGCTAAATATAGAGTACCTAAATTGAATAGATTGTATTTTTATTTTATGTTAAAGGTGTTTGTTTTTTTCATTTTTTAGAGGAATTTTAATTTTTTTCCCAAAATAGTAAAAATCCATTTAGACAAAGTGCTTTGAAGTTGAGTTTGATTCACTGAATAGTCTGGTTAACTGAGATTTACCTTTTATATGATGCAGATTATTTTAAAGAATTAAAATGTAGTAAGAAAGTTAAAAATTTTCCTGAAGATATCCTTTGAGATATGAAATGTTGAAGTAATTTAGGACTGTGTCATGCCAAAGGGTTATTGAGAACAGTTCAGAAGGTTTTTTGAGGCCAGAGTTACTATCTGCTAAGTAATGTATTTCAGTGTTCCAAGAAGTATAAGCTTACATTTTAGGAGGAAGAGCAGGCAAGTATTTAAATGAGTCTCCTACAAGGCCGAGTGTAAATGATAAAGGAGAGATATTAACAGAATGCTTCGGTACCAGGATAAGGGCAGAGACATGTCATAGATACTCAGAGGAACAAGGAGCTTGGTAAACTTCTCAAAAAATCCTGAGATTTGTATGTATATTGACTTCGTGAGGAGTGCTGGAACTTGTAGTTTTGAGATCTCTAGTATTAGGTTATTGGCTATTTCTGTTTTTTCTTAAGATTATGGAATGTAGAGGAAAAAAATTCAGTTTGAGGTTTTTTTCTTTTTGGTGGTTTGGTTTCTTGATAAAATGTACTATATATATACATATGAAAGATACATATACATTTACTATATATACATATGAAGGACACATATACATGTGCTCCATATACGTATGAAAGATACATATCTGTGTACTACCTATACATATGAAACATACATATATGTGTACTGTATATACATATAAAGCATACACACACATGTACTATATATATAAAAGGTACAGATACATGTACTGTATATACATATGAAAGATACATATACGTGTACTGCATATACATATGAAAGATGCATATACATATGAAAGGAAACTGAATAAAGCTATTTGCTTAAACAGTATTTGAATTATATAATATAAAGTCCTATAGCATTTTTATTTGTCATTCCAAGTTGTGTTTTTTGCTTTTTTTAAATTAGTTTTGACCTCATATATTGCTATTCAGTTGTGATAGTTCTTAGGCAGTTTTAATGGGATTCAATTTTAAGCTGGAACCTTTATGTTATTATTAAATTGCCATTTCAAATCTCATATAGAAGACTTTTTAGAAAAGTCTTTAAAAACAGACTTTCTAAAATTTTAAGTGACTTATTAAGTTTTTATCTGCACTTATAATATTATTTAGTATAGTGTCTTAAAATATTTTATAGGGGCTGGCTCCGTGGCCGAGTGTTTAAGTTCGCGCCCTCCGCTGCGGCAGCCCAGGGTTCCGATCCTGGGCGCGGCCATGGCACCGCTCGTCAGGCCACGTTGAGGCGATGTCCCACATCCCACAACTAGAAGGACCT